ATTCTTAAAGTTCGTCTTTTAAACCTGAAATTTTATTAATGACTCATAAATACCGCCTAATGTTTAGCTGTGCATTTAATACAATAAATTAAAAATTTAATATTTATATTTTTTACATTATGCATTGAAAATGCCAATATAATTACTGTTACAATATTGTTGACATTTTCGCGATGGTAATAACTCCTTTTAAGTTAACTCCTTTTAAGCTCTTACTCCACTGGGAGTTCACAAACCACTGTGTGGAAACCGCGGTCATAAGCAATGGTGAGTGACAAGAAGATCTAGGATTTGGACCCCGTGTTCACTACGCAGTGCAGTTCGACCACTGTGCACGGCTTTTGCCCCCATTCCCACTTGCCCCCTGCCGTCTGCCGCATTGCTCGGTGTGGCTGTGGCGGCGACCGGGATTGCAGTGGTTAGCGCTGTGGTCAGCTTCCCGCCCACAGAAACCACAGTCCCCTTTGCATTAGGGCAGAGGGCAAAGATTTCTGCTCCTACATGGAAAACGCAACTGCCGCTGTAGATGGGGCGTGCCGTATTCTTGCCTATATCTTCAGGCTTTAGAGGTGCCAATGTTCGTACTTCTATGGTGGTTAAGAGCTGTAATTTCATGTCATGTTGCTTGGATAATATGGTTCGTTACGATGAGCAGATATTTCATTTAGACCGATACATGTTAGAGGATACGTCTCATTCATTCTCAAAACAATTTTTCCATTAAGCAAACAAGTAGTGTTTACTTCGTAGTGTGAAAATGAGCAATTTTCAAAAATTCAAAGACTTCAAAAAAATTAGAACAGCATCTCTTGAACGTCCTTTACGCTCCCCAGGGACAAAGTGTAATCCGAATATTTGGCGCGATTTCTGAGCAAATATTGAAAATTTTGTCAGGGCTTCCTGTAAAATACCCACCAAAACCAAGATATCCGTTTCAAATTCAAGAGACCTCGATTTTCTTTGGCGCAAGATTTGACCAAAGAGAGACGGAAGGACTTTTAATTTTACCATAAAATACCCAAAAATATTACTGGTCACAAACAGAGCCATGTCACTAATAGCTTTGATTTTTAAATAAAATTAACTTTTTTATTCCGTATAATAATAATAATAATAATAATAATAATAATAATAATAATAATAATAATAATAATAATAATATATACATTATAAATTAATAGGATACACGATACTTATGCACATTTGGTGAGAATAAGCCGCTCAACAGTGCCCAAGAAACGTACCATACGAAATCGAGCATCAAAGCTTGCCTTCTATCTAGGGCCGGTCGCGTGTCAGATGACAACGAAGTTGTGCCATGGTGCCTACGCACAGGTATTTTTCAAAATACCTCCACCAGTACCCCTGGCGAGGCGTTAATTTATTTTCTTTTGGGGGCAGTACAATCTGCGTGTACGCCACAGCCCTACTTGTCTTTTGCGGCAGAAGGTGGGAGTACTTATAATTTTCTAAAGCTATTCTTTCAACTAACTTATCTCTAGCATGCCTTAACGAACCCCTTCACAACATGACACTTCGGCCGTTTAGTTATGTCTAGAAAAATGTATTACTTATAAATCACGCGTCTTTGACATATTGTTTCAAATTGTGTTGTTTGAACTTTTTTCTTATTTGTATTCTCATTTACACCGTTTCGCACTGTTTACACTGATCTCGCATTACATTCATTCACTCGTTATGCTACACTCTATTCGCAGAATGGACACTATTTATACTTGGAAATTCTAGTAACAGCAGCGACTAAGTCCGAAGTGTTGTGACGGGGGGCATATGGATTTTGGGGTCTGGGGCTGGGGGTGCTGGGAAGAGAAGTGGGATTGTGGGGCAGCCCTGTAGCCGAGGGGCAGTTAGTCAGCGAGGCGGATCCAGAAAGTAATTTAGGAGGACAGCAATTTCAGTTCGGATACCCCATTAACGTCTTTGACTTTCTTTTAAATTGTTAGCTTGCAATAAAGATTGTGTACAAATATATTCATAATGGGAATACTTTTTTGTATGTGTGACGTCATGGATACTCACAGGGACCACTGACACAGAGCTTTCGTATTACAAATATATTTATTAACAAGAAAACAAAACAAATATATACACTTAATAATCTACTTACACCCTAGCTCTGATAGACCTACTATCCCCTGATCGCGGGAGCTATCCAAAACCCGATTGAAGATGGTTTTGATTGTGGCATTCGCCACTCCTACTTTTGAAGCGCGCACAAAGCCTAGCTTCCGTGACCGGATGTCACGCTGGGACACAAAGTCCGTTCTGGCGCACCAACGGCTGGTTTGCCTCGATCACAGGAGCGATCTTATCCGATTGAGAATCGGCGAGAATCGTGGCACTCAACCACTCTTCACCTCGGAGCACGCACACAGCATCGCTCCCCCGTGACCGCAGTCACCCAAGGACAAAGTCCGCAGGCTTCGTCAACTAATGACTCCAGCCTCGCGAGCCTGGCTCGCATATGCACCGTCTTGGCGCCAAGTTTTGTGCACACGCACGAGGTTCTCCCACCGTCTCCAGAACCTACCCACTGGCTCTGTACACGCTGTTATATAGGCGAGGCCCACGTGACCTACTACGTCACGCCACCCCCTCGCTTGTTATAACAATGAAAAGCTTCTATAAGCCGGAAACTCCCAAAGCCTTGTGTCTCCTGTTTCCGCGTTCTTCCCTTTACGGAAAAACCCTACTTCCTGTGGCTAGGCTAATCCTTTTCCAAGCGTCCCCAAATAGATGCCATGAGGCACGCTGGCTAATACGTTACATATGTAATATCTATACATGATATCTATACACAGTACTTATTTTGAATAAATTGAGAGAGTAAAATTACAACGAATTATTGGTATGGGAAGGAATGCTCCCCTGTTCCGTGTTTCCGCCACATGTCTCCGCATAATGAGATGTGTACAGTCTAGGTTCCCAATTAGGGCTATATTCGGCTTTCAGATAGTATAAATTTAAGCTGTAAAAACTGTATACTAGTAAACAACAGATACGCGTATACTATGTAACCACTATACTATATAATAAGTGTTGTGACGGGGGGAATATGGATTTTGGATATGGTTATATATAAACATACATATATTCCATATTATATAAACTGATATCCCTTTGGATAAACTTAATATAGGAACCAGATTTATTATATACAACCATAACTATACTTAAAATTGGAAATTTTTTCAAAAAACTTTTGGTATGCCTATAAGCGTTCCTTTGTGTCCATTCAAAGCTGATTCATAAAACATTTGGAACAAGATTAAAACAAAGAAGTATATTTTTTAATATAATTGTTGAAAAGATATGTTGTTGACATCATTCTTAGTGCACATCAAGACAAAATACAATTTCCTAACATTTAAAACATTTCACCCCACACTTCAGTTCACCATAGAACAGGATACACCTAAGAATCAATTCCTTACATCCACAATTGTTTGTGGTCATATTAAAACTGGCACAAAAAATGAGATTGTCTAGATTACACCAGTTGCCCATTTAAAACAATATTATTCACTTTCTTTTATTAACAAAGTCGTATTTAACTCAGTTTATCAGTTGAAAAATTGTATAGTATTTATTAACATGTTGATAAATTGCATATTGAATGATATTACAAACGTTACACGAGGTGGCATTTATTGTGCTTTTAAACAAATATACTCAAGAATATTGATAATGTGTGTTTTTGAATCTGCTCATGTTCTAAACCTTTTTACACATGATTAATTTTTCATTAATAATAGATGACTTCGTGCACAGCCAAAGGAGCTAAGTATCGCACTTGACGAGATATCCCTCCCTGATATTATTGCACGTCTTGTAATTATGTGAAATGAGGTGCAGTGTCTGCGACTTTATCAATTCTTTTAAATCAAATTAGCATTGATATTTTTTTTGCTAATAGCCATTCATTGTTCTCTGTTAAATAAGCACGATATGCAGCATTGTGTATAGGTACATATTACCTTTCCTATCTATTTTCCTTACATTTTTATCAGTAGTATAAGGAAATAATCAAATCAGAGAACATCGGCAGGAAGCCCTATGTTTATGCGGGAAATGGCCCTTTAGTATATGACAACTAACATGAGGTATTCAAAATATCAGAACTTATCGAAGACGCGATAATCACGACATTCATCTCCCACTCACATGCAAATCCAGTGCATATATAAGCCACCTCGAATACAAACTTACAATATACTAACCTTTGTTGTCACGGCTTCTGCCTCGAGATGACTTCATTTACTACCACTCAGCTGAAAGGGAAAAAGTTGACGTAAGAACCTTTTTTTTTAATTTGTTTCGTCTGCATAGACGGAACGCGTCTCCTAGCTCCTTAAGGAGCGTAGAGTGCACTATGCAGTAATCATCCGTAACTTTATATTGCGCTTTCAGAATCTTTTATCTTATATCTTTCTTGAATAATGAATTATAATATTCTAGATATTAAATGTAAAAGGTTTGCATATGCATTATTTAGAAAAATTTCCAAAATAAATTGCGTGAGGTTTTCCTGCAATAAATGTTCAATTCAAATAACATCTATGTGTCAAAATATTTGAATAATTGCTAACATATTTACAACTATAATGAAAACTATAATTATAAACAAAAAATAAAATGTGTATCTACCTACTAGGAAGGAATATATGAAAGTTTTCCCCTAATTTTGCAGCTTATGTATGTGTTGGTACATAAACTTGAATATGGTTTTAGAGAGTTGTTACATGGATAATGAATAAGACGTTTTGCGTATACTTCACCAACATTCTTACTTGATCAACGTCATGGGCAAAATGGGGCGTTCTGGCCTGCGCCTTGCAGCTAGGTAAGATTGCAGTCAAGACCTGCAGCAGTCATGAACATCTTCAAAAACATCATCTAAAAACTAAAAGTATTTTGATTGTAAATTAAAACGAGTAAGATAATTTTAAATTGAAAAAATGGAAATTATGACTCACCAGAATCTATGATTACTGTTATTTCATCATCACACCCTGCAGTAACTCAAGATCAGGTGCGGGTGTCTATTGATCTTTCAATGTCGCCGCTGTCTCTGTTGGTAATGACTGACACAACTGCGGTGACAGCAGCAACACAAAGTGTGGTTGTGGAAGCGCCACGGGCTGGAGTGATTGCTGTGCCGGAGAATCCACAGGCGACAGCCATTGCTGATGGAGTTATTGTTGGTGTTGTAGTTGCTGCTGATGCTGTGCCGCCACATGGTGTATAGCGTCAGTGAACACACACGCGGCAGGCAGTACTGATGCTGTGCCGACACGTCAGCATTACGTGCCGTCTGTAGCAGATTTTGCGCTGCTGCGATTACTACGTCTCTTGATGTTACTTGTAGAGATGGTAGCGACATCGTGTTGTGGAGTGACTGATGCAGTAAGCAATATTAGGGGATATACGTGTGCGAAGATTATTCTTGGAAATTTCTGACAACTAAACATTACTCAGTTTAAATTTCTGATCATTTAAGAAACCTGTCTCAAATACATAATGATTCTTTTTTGCATATATATATATATATAACCAAAAACGTAAAATTTTCTATTAATAATTAGTGAAGTATAAAGAACATACCTTCCAGATTCTCTCTTGTAATCAGAGTATTCTTAACTACGAGACTCAGTAGGCAGTAACACTAAACACGTCAATTCACGCCCGAGGCATGACTGCGCGCTCAGCTCGGAAGCGCATGTCGAACAGACCCCCTCCCCATTCTTCTGGGAAATGAGTGGCTTATGGCGACTGTCTCAGTCCAGACAAGACTATAAGGTTCTTACGCGGACTTCATTCGTTCTGAGCTTATGCATTTGTCGCGACGTGACATGTGAAAGGAGCAGGAGGGCGAGCGTGTAAGAAGACACACTACGCTTATTGGTTATTTATTACATGCTACGTACGTACATGCGCGTAACTCATGGGCCTTACACTTACATCTGGTAAGGTGGGCATGAGGCCATGGACAACTCACAAGCAAGTGGCAACACAGAGGCAGTGGCAGCAAGGCTCGGCGGTGGCAAGGTCCTCGCGTCGGGTTCAGAACTCGGTCTGAGCGCCTAGTTACCGAGAAACGACCAGGGTTTTCACTCCTCGCGCACGAAGCCCGCACCACGAGTCCACGTGACAGTGACAGTTTTCCCGACCGGAGCGCTTGGTCGCCCCAGGGGTATTCGCTCAGTCGAGTCGAACACTGGAGACTGCCCTCAGTGCAGCCGCACCGGCGCTTATGTAGGAGTGGCAGTCTGGATATCGTCATGGAGTGTTTGGGGCGGGGTGCGAAGTGGGGAACCTTAGGAAAGCGGAGGCGAGGCGCGTTGACGAGCAGACAGAAACACGTCGCGTTGGCGGTCTCCCCCAAATGGTATTAACGTTAATGGAGGCTGTATTTACAAAGATTACTTAAATAAATTCACGGAGATGTTTGGATATTTTATTGTCATTACCCGACAAAATTCACTTACAGAACGCAAGATTCAGTTTTGCGTATCTCAAATTTTATATGCTTAAATTGCTACAAAGAAACATGGCACATTGGAAGAATTTTTTAAATAAATTTAAAAATGTAACACAATTAATGAAAAACCCAATGTTGAGTAGACAAGTTTTCAACAAGTAAACGTTTTAGTTTTTATGTCGCGAGGATACTATGCTCTCTTTCCAAACTAGTAATATAAACTTGAAACGATCGCCTTTTAGAGGGGGAGGCCGGGGCAGTTGATCTCTACAAACATGTTCAGGTACGTTCTCTTAATAATATATATTAATATCTGGAAGATTTTTGTGTTTTGTAACTGCCCGTGAATGTTTACTTGGTTAAAACAATATGCAGTTGCGTATGGCTTAATTAATTGAAAAATTAATATAAAAGACACTTCAAAAGTATTAATATGTTTGGAACGGTATACGAAATTACATATGATTTATGGTACTAGAAAAGTTAGTAAAAAATATATAAACAAAGAAAGATTGTATTTTCTCTGCTGGAAACGCTGAATTATTTCTTCAACAGAAATGCCTGACTATGTTTTTCGAATGTTTTCAACATTGATAAAAATTATTTCTTAGTTTATAGCAATTTGTAGTTTATACGACACTTGATATTTAACTACAAACAGTTGTGTATCAGTAATAAATATTTTAGCCCTATGCGCGTTTTTCGGCCCACCTCTGATCACCGTCCGAGATCGCTACCACCACCACCGGCGTCGCTACCAGCATCATCACCCTCGCTATCACCACTGCCGTTGCCACAACCACCACCGCTTTCGCTGTCACCTTCATCACTATACCCAGCGTCGCTAACTTCTGCACCGAAACGGATATAATGATGAGCTAATATAAATTATTATCAAGTATTTCATCATCACAATCGAAAATATGTAATATTTTATCACCATGCGGCCCGAGCCGAACTAGTAGAAAAGTTTAGGAAAAGTTGTTGACACAGGCCTGGAAAATCCATCGTTCTAAATTGACCATCACCACACCACCGCAGGCATTGCCAGCACCACCACCACCACACCACATCCGGCGAGGTACCATCATCACAAAAAAAAGCTACTACCACTACCACCACCATTACCACCACCTTCACCACTACTATCCCCACTGTCGCCACGACTACAACCACCACCAAAACCCTCATCGCTAATACCACCATTCAAACGAGCATCGCTACCTCTACTCCGGCATTTTTTAACCACTACCTCCACACCAACATCGGCATAGCTACCATCACCACCGGCGACCTCCGCCATTTACCACTTTCGACGTCAATATCATTACCACTGTCAACTCTACGACCATCCGCGTAGCTACCACTAATGCTTCCGGGTCACCTCGACTCCCACCACTAGCATCATTGTCTACTCTATCAGCACCGGCGGCGGCGGTACTAGAACAACCAAATCGTCGCTACGTCACCAACCGTGGCGCCGCTAACTACAAATACCATAGACGTCAGTACCACCAGTGTAGGCGTCACTACTCCCCGTAGGTGTCACTTCCATCACCAAAGCCGTTGCAACCGCCACCAGCACCACTAGTGTCGCTATCACCACCACCTGCTACGCTAACACAACCTCCACCGACGTCACCAAAATTACCCTCACTGTCACCAAAATATTTCTACTATTGTCTGTAAAACCATTGTTGTGTAGGGCGACCATATTCAATTTCTGTGTACGTCCGTGGACAGCGCGCGCTCTTGTAGGGCAGCTCGTGTAGCAGTGAGGAGGGGACACTCTCCAGCGAGCCAGAGAGAGTGTCAGCAAGCAGCCGCGTCTGCTATTTAACGGGCCAGCAGCCGCCACGATGAGAAGTCTAGCACTTGGAACGAATTGATAGTGTGCGAGCGTCTGTTGAAGTTAAGTGGTTACGCTTACGAAGAAATACGAATGCAGGATCGTGGCCCGTTGGTGTGTGGTGACCAAGCTTCGATTAATGACAGCTACGACTATTATGAATTGGACCTAGTTTTTCGCTCCCGGTAATCTGAAGTTTTAGCAAGGTTTTCATACGAGTACATATAGGAAAACATTGCACCAATAATACCATTGTTATTGTTAAGTCAGGGTGTACATCGATACGTTTTAATTTACAAAATCGGTGTCGCATAAGGGTTATAGTTATAGACAAAATATTTTCTATCCCTTAAGTACGTCCTTTTTGACAAAAACCAAAGATTCGTAAATTAAGAGGCAAGATAATGGTAGTATTTCTACCTTAATAAAGAGAGGTTATTCTAGAATCGTGTGGGTTGAATATGCTTATTATAACAAGATGTGTGAGGTCATGTATGTGTGTGTATGAGAGAGGGTGAGTGAGATAGCAAGAGAGTGAGTGAGTCAGTGGGGAAAAGATGGAGTGCACGTATATGTGTTTAGAGTTAGGATTGTTTGCTTCCTGTAACTGTGTCCGACCTGTCCGTGTTGGGTGGTATATCTTAAGATAAGCATGCATCTTCTCAGTGTAAATATAAAAAAAAATGTGGCAGTAAATCCATTTGTATTCTGCACCGAGCGAAGTATTGTTTTTCAGTTTTTATTTTATAATTAAATCATACTGCATGCAAATTTATCAGCAAGTCATGTTTATAAAGCCATATGGCAGAACAAACTGATATAGACTACTAAATCTAATTCAAAAAACAAATTTAATTTCAGTAATAACGCAACTGTCTCCAGTGTTAATGTCATTATTAATGACTACGTCACGCCACCACCGCAACTAGAGTTGGTCCCACAACCTCCACCACTATGTTAGGTACTAACTTGTTAAATACTAACACCTAGAGTATTACCAACAACATCACTAACACCAGCATTCCACCAATACTACTAACTCGAGAAGTATTACTACCACCACCACCGACACGATTTGAATCGTCACACTGACTACCAGAAAAGCTACTAACATTGACACCATCACCATTAGAACCGACACTTACCTTACTAGAACCACCACCAACACTCTTAGCAACGCCACCGCCACTAGTAGAACCGACACCAGCTTCACTAGAATCGCAACCGACACCACTAGCACCGCACCGTTACTATGAGAAAGAACTGCTACCGACACCACTAGCATCGACCCTGAAAAAATAGCATCCTCTCCGACACCATTAGAAACACCACTGTCATCACTAGCAACACCGTCAGGATAATATACCACCATCTACACCACCAGCACCGCCCCCGAGACCATTAGCACCGCCACCGAG